TATGTGAAAAAGTAAAATTTTCTTGTTGAGGTCAATAGGGATACTTTGTAAAGGTTCCCACTAACCTTGTCCGTAGGGATTTGAAATGTGAACATGCCTCTATCCTTGGTAAAAAAAATGAGCCCGTTTGGTCGAGTTGTAATGAAGATATTCAACTTTTTCTTTGTGGAGTTACTTACTGGACACCCTATATATTGAACGTCATAAAGATTATACATTTCTCGTTCAATAGAATAATTTATAGAGGCGCTAGTGTATCTCACCTGTTTGTGTCTATGTAGCTTATTATACACATATTCTTTGTTTAGCACACAACATCAAACTGAATCGATTCTGAAACAATTTTCATAAAGTTTGAAAAAAGATATAGCAATGGAAAACATGAGATGAAAGATCTATAGGCTCTTCTTTACCTTGTCAATTTTTATTTCTGAAATTTTCTATGATTGCCAATTCTAAATTCTTTTCTTTGTTTTTGTATATCGATATTTCTTTTTATTGGAAGTTTAGATAAAATTCGTACAACTTTGATCAAATGAACTATTCTAAAGAATCAAGGAATGCCAATAAACACTCACCATCGTTTTTACCAGATGTAGAAGACAATGAAATTATGTATATTGAATCTCGTTCACGTATCGAATCTCAAGGAAATGTGAAAGTATCGAATACAAAAAATACGATTAATACATTAACATGCCTATTGGATTCTTATCGTTCATCCACAAATAAACGATGTGCTTCTGGTCATCGGAAAAATTCTTTATCGTCATGGGAAAATGATGCAGCATCTTTCTATTCATCATATTCTTATGATGCTCTTGGTATGAAACAAGTAAAATATATATGCTGGCTTTATAAAAAGATCAATGAAAACGACGGTAGTGCTATGTTAGGTTGTCGTTTATGTGAACAGTATCGTATGGTAAAAAACAAGAATGGCAAAGAAAATACTTGAGCTACTAAAGGATTTAATGTATTAGCATTAGACAAAATCAAAGAACATCGTTTAAACGAAAAACACAAAGAAGCAGAAGCATTGGAATTACAACGAACATCGATGAATCAACCTGACTGGATTTCAAGAAGAACAACTGCTCTGTCACGCCAGAAAGAATCCATCAAAAACTTGATGTATTCCTGCATTGATTTATGCCAAAATCATCATTCATTAAATAGTTTCACACCACTTTGTAGTCTATTAGAAAAAGTCGGTGCTAAATTGTTACCGATAGAAGTCAGTGGTATTAGTTATCGGAACGATAATGGGACGCGGACATTTCGCACCAAGTCATTCCACACTCCGGACATGTGTCCGGGTGTTCGGAAATGATTTTTGTCTTGGACAACTTTCATTACGAACACCCTGTTTTTTTATTTTTGATTGATTTTGTCATTTCGAACTCCCGTACATCTAATTCCGAACATCCTGTCTTTTTTCCTTATGTCGGGAGATCGTAACGAACATCTGCTACCGGAGATCGTAATGAAAAATTGGGTGTGGGTGTGGGTACCAGACTGTCTTCCAAAATAGATGCGCACCCCAAACCCACACCACACACCCACCCACATCCACATCCACACTCACACCCACACCCACACATCACACCCACACCCACCCAC